GACATAACTTTAGTCCAAAGTAGTCCAGCTAGATTCAGTCTCTGGCTGAAGTTATGACCTGTTTCTTTTCAAGTCCATAGACATAACTTTAGTCCAAAGTAGTCCAGCTAGATTCAGTCTCTGGCTGAAGTTATGACCTGTTTCTGCTAGAACTAATCAGCTGAAGCCAGGAGGAATGCCAGTCAGCACTGTGGAAGTGTTTGCTCTTTGTTTTTACCCGGAGAGAAGCCCCCTTACATGCTCCCAACAGTTACAGATGAGGACAGTTTTTACTGTCTTAATTAGTTTGTCCTACAAAAGAAAAGGAAGTTCCTGTCTCTCACCAACTACTGCAATAATGCAGTGGCTATACATTTTCATACTGAAACTAATTGGCTTTAATCCCTATCGTCAGATAACAAGTGGCCAGCTAGTCCACAGAATACTGCAGATAGCCAGATTAGGTAGGACTAATGTAGCAAAGAGAGCCAGTTTGACTAGCATCAGGCTAGAAATCAGGAGATTGTGAATCACAGGTCGTATTCAGTAGGTCCTGACCAGTTCTGGAGAACCAGCAGTTCTCCAGAACCAGCAGAACCGGAGGACGAGTTCTGGAGTAGCGGAAATTTTGAGTAGTTTGGAGAACCAGCAAATACCACCTCTGACTGGAGATTTTACAGTATCCTTCCCCTGCCATGCCCATTAAACCACAACAACAGAACCGGTAATAAAAAAATTTGAATCCCACCACTGCTGTGAATGCTGGTCTCATCTTAGGCACAAAAGCAGCTGGGTGACCTTGGGCTATTCTCTCAATTCTAAGAAGAAGGCAATGGCAAACCTCCTCTGAAAAGCCTTGCCAAGCAAGCTGCAGGACTAGTCTAAACGATCACTAAAAATTGGACACAATTGAACAGAGGGAAAAATGTGTAGTCAGCTTCCTATCTTCTTATCTCTTACGGGATATGAGTATTTTATTCATGGAATAGGGCATGAATATGAGACAAAGGCTTCTATTAAGTGATCACTGCCTTCTTCTACTTTCTGTCAATACTGCTTTTCACACCCAACATTATAAATCAGGATAACGCATGTTTATATTCTGGGACTGATTTTTTTTTATCCTTCTTTTAATCTAGTCGTGCTTTGGTTTAGTAAAATCAAAAACCCTCTAGAACGAGTCATTTTAAAGATTCTATAAATAAATCATGAGCTATCAGAGTTGTTTCTATAGTTTTCCTCCATTAAATGTTATTTCAGTAAGACTAAATCCAAACCCAATTCATATTAAATCAATTGAGGGGAATCAGAAACCTCAGCTGGCATTTCAGGAAAAAAAAATATCAATATTGCAATATGCACATAAAATATGCAAGAAAATTTGCCTTTGATTCAACTTTGTAGAAAAGTACATTCAGCAAATACATATTTAATCCAGAACACAAGGATCAGTGTATTAGTCTTTTCTGTCGCAGGATCAAATTAATCATAAACTAGATGTGGTCACACTTTTTTTCTACTTAGGAATGAACAGTGACAAATATTAGAGGTGGTCCCTGACATACAACAGTTAATTTAGTGACCATTCAGAGTAGCAAAGGCACTGAAAAAAGGAACTTATGACTATTTTTCACACTATTTCAGCACCCTTATGGTCATGTGACCAAAATTCATAGGCTTGGCTACTGACATATATTTATGCCAGTTCCAGTATCCCAGGGTCAAGTGATCAACTTTTGTGACCTTCTTATAAGCAAAGTTAATGGGGAACTCAGATTCACTTCATAGCCATGTTAATTTAACAACTGTAGTGACTCACTTAATAACTGAGGTAAGAAATAGCAATGGAAATAGCACTTATATATATACCACTTCATAGTGCTTTACAGCCCCCTCTAAACAGTTTACGTTAGTACATTGTCCCCAACAATCTGGGTCCTCATTTTACTGACCTCAAAAGGATAGAAAGGTTGAGTCAAACTCCTGGCAGTGAGCAGTGAATTAGCCTGCAATACTGCATTCCAACCACTGCATCACCATAGCTCAAAAGGTCATAAAATGGAGCAAAATTCACTTAACAAATGTTTCACTTAGCCACAGAAATTTTGGGTTCAATTGTCATCATAAGTTGAGGACAACCTGTACATCTATTGCAGATCAAGGTACACTTAGAATGCACTTTGTTATAACACTTACAATATGATGAAACAGTTTGAATACATGCCACCTGTACTTTGTTTCAAGTGTTTAAACCTTATTAGCATGTTATATTTATCTTTACTCCAACTTTCTTTAGGTCAAATGGTGATTTTTAGTTGAATATAATAACAGGCCAGTCAAGCCCTAAATTATGTCTGCCCTGGAACCTCTGTAAATTCCTTCCAGTATATTAGAATTTAACTATTTTATGCAGAATAAACCAGTATTTACACTTGAATACAAGATGCTCCCTAACTTTTTGAAGTATATGAGAGAAAAAATTCTTGCACTCAAAAATTTCAATTATTCAAGTTTGCAGCAAAAAAAACCCCAAGTATGTAATATCTGATACTTCTGATGTGACTTTTGAAGCTATCACCATTACAGGTACAGTACAAGTATAGCATTCTATCTATGTAAATGCCCTACCTAAGTAATATTCTGATTATCAAATCCCAGGTGACTGTTGAAAAAGAGATAAAAGTCTAGTCATATAGCTGCCCAATATTGTGCCAGCAAAATGACTTGCTCAGTGGACATTAACTATCAAAAAACTGTGATTTTTAAAAATACCTTCTTAGTGTTTTTCACTGTGACACTCCTCTTTAGAACATGCTTGTCATACATTTTAGTTCAAGCATGTATTATATTTATGAAAAAATTACTTTTGATCATTCACAAGGTTTTTAAGCCATGCTTTGTAGTGAATATTTATTATATGATTTAAGTATTGAATATTACTTGGACATATACTCCATGACAGGAAGTAGATCAATATTTTATATAAATAACATTTTACACTGGAAATATTTGCTAACTATGCCTTCTGGAACTATGGTCCAGAAAAAAAGACATAAATAATTTATCAGAATTGGAATGAAATAAGGTTTTGATGTCTTTCACTGTATTCATTTTCAGACTAAACCTATGCAGAAGTTAATGTTTCCAACTGAACTTATTCAATTATAAGCATGAATAAGGTGAAGATTTGATAATTTAGGTAAAAATAAAGGTTCCCCTCACACATATGTGCTAGTTGTTTCTGGCTCTAGGGGGCGGTACTCATCTCTGTTACAAGCCGAAGAACCAGTGCTGCCTGAAGACTTCTCCATGGTCATGTGGCCTAAACACTGAAGGTGCACAGAATGCTGTTACCTTCCCACCAAAGTGGTCCCTATTTTTCTACTTGCATTTTTACATGCTTTCGAATTGCTAGGTTGGCAGAAGCTGGGACAAGTAACAGGAGCTCACTCTGTTACGTGGTACAAGGGAACCACCAAACTGCTGACCTTTCTGATCGACAAGCTCAGTGTCTTAGCCACTGAGCCATTGCATCCCTTACTTCCAATAATTTACTGAAATGTTTATGGTGTAACCAAGGAATTGGGGTACTTTCATACCACAGTCATCTATTCATGTTTAGCCAAAAGTAGTTCCAAGCTTTCTATTGTTGTTGTTTGGGCAGTATTTCAAAACTCACCATCTTGGACAAATTTGAACCAACATTTGAAAACACCCTTTCTCAATAACTAAATAAATGCAAATAATATACAGTTCTGCTGCAAGTTAATTGATCCATGACGTTCAATAGGTGTTATAGAATAGCTGACCTATTCTGTTTCATGTCTTATGTCAAATATTGCTGAATGCTGATTATTGCATATCTACTGTAGAGGAGCTGGCAAACATTTCTAATATCAAATGAATTACATGTCCTTAGTGGCAAACTGATATTTGTTGCAGTTTTCCTTAACTCTTTCATAATATGCTTTGTGCAATTGTGTTTTTACATTATTATTTGGTAATAATTGTAATTTCAACATTATGCTTCTTATTTATTTATATTTATTTTTTATTTATTTTTTATTTATTTTTTATTTATATTTATTTATTTATTTATTATTTATTTATTTATTTATTTATTTATTTATTTATTATTTATTTATTTATTTATTTAGACTTCTATACAGGTTGTCCTCATTTAGTGACCTAAGTGGATCCAGCAACTTGTTAAGCAAAGCAGTCAATAAGTGAAATCATAACTGTGCTTATGATCTTTCTTCAGTTGTCCTTTGCATAACAGACCTGCAAAGTTTGTAAATATAAAGTAAAATTACTTTTCATCACTGTTATCACTATAAACGGTTGCTAAATGACAATTACATGGTCTGCTAAATGACTATGGGCTATAAGCAATTTTAGGAAATGCCATAATAAAGTTTAAACATAATAATTTGAAAACCCAACACATGAACAAACCCACACCAAACAATGAGCATGCCATCTCACAGGAATAGACCAACCCTCTATATGCCAAGTGCCTTCCTAAAGAGCCAGATCTTTACAGCCCTTTGGACGCCCAATAAGGAGGAAGAGGACTGGATATCTCACCTCTGGTAAGATGGGGAGCATACAAGTTTAATAATAAATAAAATAATAAAAATGAAATAATAAAATGAAATAAAAATAAAATGAAATCTGGGAGTAAGCAATCCTTTTTTTATCTCACTTGCTGGGCAGATTGAGCCTGAAGAAGGCAATCACATAGATACCAGGTGTTGAGCCATGATGGATTATAATGATGACACCATCTCAAATTGCACCCAAAAACTAACTGATAGCTAAAATAGGGATGTTATATAGGTAAATTTCAATTTGATCCTTACTATCCAGGCAGCTAAATGCTGGACCAGCTGAAGTTTCCAAATGAACTTCAGCATCACCTTCATGTAGAGACAATTAGAGTAGTTCATTCACAGGGGTTGAGGGAATGAATAATCTTGCACAATGGTTCTTGATCCAGAAATGGTCGGAGATGCCATAGAATATGCAATTGTGCAAAGGTTCTCCTAGCTGTGGCCTTTATCTGTGATTTTAGCAGGAATTAAGGGTCCAGGAGAACCCCCTTATTGAGAATCAACTTTATATGAGGAAGTACAACCCCATCTAGAATTAAAGATAAAATATCTCTGGATGCGGTAAGCCTTTGAATCCGCAGTCACTTCATTTTGATAGTATTTACTAGAATTGAACTAAAACTACCTTCTACCAACTTCATAGATCATAGACAGAGCTGTTTTTCCTCATCAAACTCTTGCAGGGTCCAGGTCAGAATTTCCACTATGCAGCCTGTTCAGCCAGAGGCAGAGATGCAGGACTGATATATAATCCATATCAGTGGTGGGATTCAAAAGTTCCCACCACCAGTTCTGTGGGTGTGGCTTGGTGGGCATGGCTGAAGGGGTGGGATCGTGTGCCTCACGTGATTGCGCAATTGTGTGCGTGCATGCGCCAAACACTCTCTCTGCGCACATGTTAAAACAGTAAAAGCTAAGCTACTGCACTTCTCAGCTGTTTACCTCAGAAATCTGCTCTGCCGCGCCAAACAGCTAAGAAGTTAAAAAGGACCTAGGAGTAGAGGCGGGCTGGTGGGCCCAACTGCAGAGTGTTGGAGAGGCTCGCAGAAAACCGGTTCTCTGCCAGCTGATCTTCAGCGCTACTGGTACACCAGAACCGGGCCGAACCGGTAGAATATCACCACTGATCCATATTCTGATACTATACCCCATCCTGGATATAGTAGTAATGTAATCTCTCCTAACAACTCTACAA